TGAGAATATTGCTAAGAAAATCATTTCGAAAATGTGAAAATTTATACAAAATTACAGAAATCTTTAAAAAGCGATCAAAATTGTTGTAGAATCTTTTCACAAAACTTAAAAAACGCTTATCATGTACAGAAGCTTGAAGTTGCAATTTTACAATTTTTAAGATAAACAAAAAATGTCTGCGATTTTCAATTATTTTACACTTACAAAAAAAAATTCATTTAGTTTTATGTCTAATATTTTTCCAAGTAACTAAATGAAACTCTTAAATTTTATGCAAATTTTCAAATTTTAATTTATAATCATTGCAGCGATGTAAAAACAAGGGAATTCGAAGCCTAAAATACGAATAATATTTGGCTCAAACTTTTTTGTAGAGAGTTAATTATTGGAATAACTGTAGTTATCGGTTAGTTAATAGTTGACTCTATAGCACAGCTGACAGAAATACATTCATAAGAGATCTTATTTACAAAAAAAAAAATAGGGCCCAGATTTTGATATTCTCGTTATAATAGTGCTCAATTGCAAAAATATTCTTTGCACAATAAATTTAAATAACTAAAAGAATTTATTTTACAATTGCATAATTTATAAAATTTTATTCTTATATAGTTTAAGTAAATATTTAAATTATAAATTCAAAATTTGTAATAATTTAAATGTAACCATTATGTACAGAACATAAAACATTAAAAAATTATGCACTTGTATAAGTAAAACTATCTAATTATCTATAACGGTAGTGTATAATAATATGTTTGTAATTAGGTACTCATATGTTTACTCCATTACTAAATATATACATATATTTTTTTTGTTGACATTGAATTTAATATTGGGTAATTTATAAAAAGCCAATAATCATTTACGTGTGTCACACGTACTCGCACATTTAACTGAAAATTAAAATTTTTTTTATAAGTTTCTATCTTTTACGGAACAAATTATTTTAAACCGCACTCACTCACACATTATATGTACAACCATATGCTTGAATAGAACATATAAATAAAAAAAAACCTTACGCATACCTCATTACATGAAGGACAACGAAAACTCATATTCAGTATTAATTATTAAATATCTAAAAATTATTACTAAAAAAAAACTGTAATGAAAACAATTTTGAGGTCATTAAAAAAATATCTTGTGATTCATCATTTTTTTTTAATTTGATATTTATTTGTAATTATTTTATTCACTAATAATAATTATTACTTTTTAAATATTATATTTTGTTTGTATTCTTGTATACACACTTTTAAAATATGAACACAAATATGATTTCCGAAAGAAACTTTAATTAGAAAATGCTGCGGGTAAGATTTTCAAATGTGAACCTTATAATTAACAATTTAAAATCTTGTTCTTAAACCTTTTAACCTGGGCCTGCACAGAATTGCACAAAGAACTTTTTACTTATTTTTATTCAATTAATCAAAAAAATTTGCAAAATTTCTGTTACACAAAGAGTCATGGCAATAATAAATTTCAATATTAGAAAAAAAATAAATTGCAAAAGTGGGTGTAATTGGGCCCTGATTGAATTTCTGATTCAATTCAAATTTGAAAACTAATTTCAAAAAATTCATTTCTGACATCCAATCTGATTGATTTTAAGAGGGAGCATTTCAATTGCAATGAAGTTTTTCATATTTAAAAAGATTCTTTAAATATTTTCACCTTATCAGAGATTAACACATTCATTAAACTTTATAAGGGGAAATCATTAAATTTAACAGTATTGTGGGACTTGTTTTATTTAATTAATAAAATCTAAATATTGAGAATAAATGACAAAATCATTGTAAAATTTCTTTGAGTGGATTAATTTTTTTAAGAGTTTTCAAATAAGAATAAAAAATATAAATAAAATTATTTGATTTCATCTTAGGGGTTACTCATCCCATCTCATCATAGCTCACTCAATTCAATAAGTTGATTATTTAATCACGTTATTTTATTTCCATATTTATGTATGTGTGTTTAATAACAAAAAATTACAAAACAGCGAAAAAAAATAAAAATTATAAAAAAAAAAATTTATCTGAAATAAACAATGAACCAAACATCATCATGAGTGTATGTTATCATTCATAGTTTAAAATCAGTTCTTAATTTACATTTCATATGTTCGGTTTCATATAAAATCTCGGATGGAAATAAAACAAAAAAACTACAAAAGTATTTAAATAATATTAAAACAAAAAAAAAAAGATTAATAAAGCAAAAACAAAATAGAAAAGGCAATGAATTCATTAATAATACTTTTACTTTCATTCTATTATTCATGCAAATTAATTCCAGTATTATCAAAACCAATAGACACAATAGAAGATATTACGGAAAAATCTACAATTATAGACAACAACAATAACAATAATGAAATTCTAAAGGATTTTATAGATTCATTAAAAGAAAATCTTAATACAAGTGTAAATCCTTGTGATAATTTTGCACAATACGCCTGCCATTCTATAAGAATTAAATTAGATATGGCACCTAGACCAGATCCAATTCAAGATATATTAGAAAAACATATTCTTAATTCAAGAAATTTAAGTAAAATTGAAAGAAAATTTAGAAATTATTTAGATTCATGTCAAAGAGCCGAAGATACACTATTTAATATATTTCAAAATGTTGATATATTACGAGCAACAGAAAATTGGCCAGTTGATAAAACAAAATTTAATTCAAATACCGTTATGGGATTATTAGGAAAAGTAACAGCAATACGAGGTATTGAAAATTTCATACAAATAAATGTAGATGATGAATTAAATTTAAATATAACTGTACCAAATAATTTACAATTTCCATTACCAATTGAAATAATGAATTTAATGAAATTACATGGTGCTATACCATTAAAAGCTGAAGAAGCTGTTGATGATATTAAAATTTTTATAAATAATTTAAGAATAATTTTAAATAAAAAGAGAATAACACCTGTTGAATGGGATTTAAAAGAAGTACCAGAAATAAATTGGATGACTTTCTTTTTTTCATTGCTACCAGAATGGGAATTAGATCAAATGAAAGATATTAAACGAGTTATGATTATAGATTCAAGAATTAAAGAAATTGCACAATTAATACAAGAAACAGAACCAAATGTATTAGCAAATTTTTTAATATTTAAAATTGTATCATTTTTAACGTTATCACAAGAAAATTGTCGCTTCTATTTGGGTTATTTCCGTCCATTATTATATGATAAAATATGGGCAGAATATTTAAATGAAAATGATGAAAATAATTTCTTAAATATCTTTAATATATTTGAAACAAGTTTTAATGAAACTTTTTTAAATAAATCAACAGCTGAAAATTCAATTAATAATGAAATAATAATAAAAAATTCACAACAACTTTTTAATAAAATTAACAAACAAAAAGATTTCTTTACGAATTATAAAAATGATTTTAAAAATTTTATAAATAAACTTAACTATAATTCAATTAATATTAGTACAGAAAATTATTATCAAAATATTTATAATATTGGAAAATATTTTTATACTGATTTTGAGGCATCAACAACTATTAGACAATCTGGTTTTAAAAATAAACTTTTTGATAATTTAGCAAATTTAGGTGGAGATTTTCAATATTCAATTGTTGATAATCATAATAAACCGATATGGGCATTTTTTAAAACTAAATCATTAGAATTATGGCAAGCTGCTTTTCAAGAAAATTTACAATTAATTAAGACAACTTCTGATGAAATAATGTTTTGTTTATCAGAACAAGGTAGTAATTCAACAAGCATTTTTGAAACATGGGATTATATTAATTTATATGCATCTATTAAATATAATTATAATAGTTTTATTAAATGGTTAAATAAATCAGAAAATATATTAAAAAATGATATTAATATGTTAAAAGAAATTAATTTAGATTTAAAGAAAGCACATTTTATTTCTTTAGCACAACAATTATGTACATTTGCATCACAAATCGATATATCCGATCAATTATATCAAATATTAAGAAATTTTAATGAATTTTCTACAACATTTAATTGTAATGATGATAGTTATATGAATGTAAAAGATAAATGTGATGTCACCATATAAATATAGAAAAAAAAAATGTAATAAAAAATGCTGATATTTAATTTTTTTTTTTAAATAAATCAAATCATTTAGCGAGCTTACTTTGATTTTTATCGGTAATGCAATAACATCTCGTTACCACATACAATTACAATTAACATACATTTCTAAAATATTAATTCATAATACGGCAAAATAAGAATTGAAAAATCCCCTTATCAGTTTTTCATAAAACATTCGTTTTCTTGGTGTTGAAATTTAACAGGAAAAGTAAAAAGATAGAGCTATTTTCTCAAATTAGAATGCTCTTATTTTTAATTCTTGCACTAACTTCTAATTTCATTAATAAAGAGTATTAAAAATGTTCAAATTATGTTCAAAGATTTACCCATTTTTAATTTTTTTAGTCTAACATATGAAATGAATAGAAAAACCTTACAGTTCTTCTTTTTAACATTTGGCTCCCCTTGGTAATTTGTATGTAGTTTTTAAATTAAATTTTAAGACTTATGTTTAAGCTAAACTTATAGTTCATTATAATCACATTCGTTTTATACTTCATTATTTATATATTTTCTAAAGGATTTTTTTATTTTTGTTATCCATGCCCGTAAGAAATGTTGTATTTGCAACTTTTAATAAAAATTTATGGACTAAAATTGTATACATTTAAAATTTAGATGCCATACAAAATCTTGAAAAAAAATTTTTTGTAGAAACAAAGATATTCCTGGAAAAATCGTTATTATATGTACATACATATTTCCAATTTTTAATGAATCACAATATTTGAGAATTGACTAGCATGGAATACTGGAAGGAAATCTAAGAATCAAGGAAGAAAAAATGTAAACCATAATACTATTCTTATCTATCTTGAATTTAATCGTATTTTGTTTATAAATTAAAAATATGTAAATAGGTATAAATTTTGGTAAAATCATAGTCAACTAAAACTAAAAAATTACATATTCATTAATAAGTATTATCCTAATATTTTCTAATGTAGTAACAAAAGGATGCTCAATTCTACTTTCTTATCGATCTCAAAATTTTGAGAAACTAGATATTTAAACGTTGCTAATATCCATTTTAATATACATGCTTACGATGTAATAAAAGTTAGGTACAAACTTTCTCAGATATTTTCTCAGAAAAAAAAAATGTTTATTCCTTATCTTGTTTAAATCGAATATGATTTTCCATAACGTAATTCGTAAAATAATTCATTGCCTCACATTGCCTTTTCTGTGACCATTGTCTCATCATTGAAGCAATAAAATTACTAAAATGATCAATATGATCTTTTTGTGCTTGAGTTTGATTTTTAATGGTGTCTAAACAATCACTTATTTGACGGTCTAAATGGTCATCATCAAATGCTTCAGAGAATTTACTTTTTTTAATAGTTATTTTATCATTACTATTTTTCTCGTCATATTTCCTTTTTGATCTTGACGTTGGAGGCGGTGGCACACTATCAAACTCAACAGTATTGCTATCACAAATTTTCTGGATTTTTTCATTTTCAACATCTTCATCATTTTGTTGTTCTGCTGAAGTTGTAACTACATAAAAATCATCACCATCTCGGTTATCGATAAAAACATCACCTCCATCATTAAGTGTTTCAAAAGTATCCTCAGTATCTATATCAAAGTGTGATGTCTGTGTATCTTCATCTTCATTTTTGACAAATTTAAATGATTGATTATCAAGATCTTTTGATTTACAGTGATCTTTCAAAAATAATAGTTTTTCAAAGTAAGGCCAATGAATTTCTATTTTACTTCCATTTGAAGCTTGTATTCTTTTATAATGTCTCTGAAACTGATCTCGTAATGTTCGCCATTTCTTCTTTAAAATATTAACTGTAAAAAATCCAAATAAATAAACAATTGCAATTCAAAAGTTTAAAAATCTTACCATCAACACAAATTTTTTTGCTAACATCCTCCCAAGCTGCTTCTTTTGCTCTCCAAGAGTTATTAAATTCTTCTGATATAAAATGACGAGAATAAATTTCAGGCCTCTGCTTTACCAATTTGATTAATGTAGAAAGATCAACAGACATTTTAGACGTAATTAAGTTTTGTAAAAATTTTATTTAATGGTCATTTAATAAAATTTAATCACAAAAAATGCATAATATGTAATTAAACTAAAGCTTGACAATATCAAAATTGTCAATACTTAATATTTGTTATGTTTTTTAATATTATTTGACGTTCCAATTTGCCGCGGCGAATTTCAAAAATTAACACATTGGCTCAATTGTTACTAACAAGCGCGTCAAGTGCATGAATATTATACTTTTGTATTTCACAAGACAAAACACAAAAAAATTTAAGTTAAATTTTAAAGATAAAAAGGCTTGAGATACAAATAACTGAATAATTTTTTTGATAACTCCAATATATATAAAATTAATACGAATTGTCAAAAAAATAAATAATAATTCTTGGTAAAAAAAAGTCGGTCGCGGTTATTTTTGCTAAGATAACTAATTAAAATGTGATAGAGTCTCATAAATGGCCTAATATTTTTTTTCAAACTGCTTAGCAAAATTGATATTTACCACAGAATTTACCATAATTTTTAAATTACTTGATTTCTGCTTATTCCCACTCATCATTTAATGATAATTTAGTTACGTACTAGATATTTAAAAATTTTCGACAAAAAGTATCAGAAATGGTAAAATTTCTGATCTTCATTCATTTTCTAAAATTTAAAAAAATACTATATATTTATTTTAATTACAAATTAAGACGGAATTATAAAAATTCTAAAAATATGTTCTTGAAAGAAAGTAAACTTTTATTGTATTACAAACTTGGTTTTACAGCAAAAATAACAAGTTTTCAGCATGTTTAGTCATTAATGGACGGCACGTCATACAAAAACCCGTTTATATGTATATGCCATTAGTTGACCGCTTGTCAACCATTTGAAAAGTGAAACAAAAATATAGTTTTAGTAAAAATAACTTGACATTACAAAAAATCTGTAAGCCATGATAAATTTTAATGCGAGTAGCTGTGTTAATTAACAAATTTCAATATTTTAAAGAGATAAATTAATACTACTACTAATAATAGTAGTTTAACAGAACTCTCTTAAATGCGACTATTAATTTTACAATAGTCTGTTTTTGTTATATATTATACTGTATGTGTTCTAATAATCAAATTTATGTAATACAAATAAGCAATTAAACTAATAAGAAAAACTAAAATTAAAACATAGCGTATAAAATTAAAACCAAGTGAATAGATTTATTTACATACAATATATTAATGCGAATGATTACAAATAAAATACGATATTTCTGGTAACACCGTTAATCTTAAATTTTTTTATTTTTAAAATAAAAACATTTTGTATTCGATTGTCAAAAATAGTTCTTCTTCGTTTGCCTTTGGTGATACAGGTAATATTTTTGACTTTTTACGGTTGGTTAAATTAATTTTTAATTTTTGATTTCTTTTTCTTATTCTACTTTACGTTTTCCCCCAAATTATAATTCATAATTTATAAATTTGAAGAAGCCGGTTTTATTGCGAAAATTTTGATTTGCTTACGTGTAGTAGAAACACAGATAGAAAAGGTAAGAAAAATTTATGAAAATAAATTAAATGTGATAGAAATAAGTAACATAAGTGTTATACTTGCTATTTTGCTTTGAATTATTCAAATAAGAATTAAATTATCTTTATATTTTAAATAACTTTTAAGTAGCGCTACTTAAAAGTTAAAATAAAGTTGCTTGTTAGGTTGAATGGACTTAGTTGCAATAAATAGTAGATATAAAAAAAAAAAAAAAAATATTTTAAATAAAAAAAACAATCATGAATAATGGAATAAGTCAAGAGGTTAAAATTCTATACTCACATAAACCAATGTTACAAACTAATGATCCATTTCATTATTTTAATAATGTGAAAGACAAGAAACGCCCAAAATTCAAGTTTCAAAGTACAACTTACATTTTTGGATTTAAACTTTAATCGAAACTTTTACTTAATTTAAATTTTAATTTAAAATTGAGACGCATTATTTGCATTCATGTTTATATATTAAATAAGATTGAATAAGTACATTCTAAGTGCTAAATACTTGTAGACTGTATGCATGTATTCCATTTTAAATTTGAATATGTATTGCGATTAGGTAGGTAATGAATTTTAAAATTAATAATTCTTTAAAAATCTGAATTTATACATTTAGTTGGTATGAATTGATCATTATTTCATCTTCAACCAATTGTAAATTTTCGTGACGCTAGAGATATTTAACATTAAATCTATGAAGTTGCGATCGACTTAAATTTGAATGTTTATTGTAAAATTATTATGTAATTAAATAAAAGCTTTTTTAAAATTACGATAAGAAATGAAAACTTATCATGCCCACATATAAGTTATCTGTAAAGGTGCGAAAATTAACGTTTGCTAGGTGTTTGCATTATGTACATTAAGAATAGTAATAGATATTTGTAATAAACGAGTAAGTGTAAGTAATATCTACTTAGTTGATTTGTTGTTTAAGATAAATTATATTTACTTTTGGTCGAATAATAATGATTTTTAAACTAAAGTCATATTTACATGTAGACTTCAAAATATCTTAAAAGCAAGCAATACTTCAAATAATAAAATAATATATAAAAATATGTACATATGTACAGATATTTAATTTTTCTCACATAATTAATGTCTTTTTTATCTTTTAGATGGCACAAAAAATTAAAGTTGGACCCGTTGTTGACATACTTGGTGATGAAATGACCAGAATAATATGGGATTCAATTAAAGAAAAATTGATTTTACCGTTCTTGGACATTGAATTGCACACTTATGATTTGGGAATAGAAAATCGTGATGCTACTGAAGATCAAGTTACAGTCGACTGTGCTAACGCTATTAAAAAATACAATGTAGGTATTAAATGCGCTACAATAACACCAGACGAAGCACGCGTTGAAGAATTCAAATTGAAAAAAATGTGGAAATCACCAAACGGAACAATACGTAATATTTTAGGTGGAACGGTTTTCCGTGAGGCTATAATTTGCAAAAACATTCCTAGATTAGTTTCTTGTTGGCAAAAACCAATTATTATTGGTCGTCATGCACATGCCGATCAATATAAGGCAACTGATTTTGTTGTACCAGGTGCCGGAGCTTTAACGCTTACTTTTACACCAGCGAATGGTGGAGAAGAAATAAAACATGTTGTAAATGACTTTAAAGGTGCTGGTGTTGCTCTTGGCATGTTCAACACTGATAGTTCTATACGTGATTTTGCTCACAGTTCATTTAAATATGCCTTAAGCAAAAACTATCCATTATATTTAAGCACTAAGAATACTATACTTAAAAAATATGACGGTCGTTTTAAAGATATTTTCCAAGAAATTTATGAAAAAGAATACAAATCACAGTTTGAAGCTCAAAAAATTTGGTATGAACACCGTTTAATCGATGATATGGTTGCCCAAGCAATGAAATCAGATGGTGGTTTTGTTTGGGCTTGTAAAAATTATGATGGTGATGTTCAATCAGATTCTGTAGCTCAAGGATTCGGTTCATTAGGTCTGATGACATCAGTTTTGATTTGCCCCGATGGCAAAACAGTTGAAGCAGAAGCAGCCCACGGTACGGTTACCAGACATTACAGAATGTACCAGCAAGGCAAAGAAACCTCAACCAATCCCATTGCTTCGATATTCGCATGGACACAAGGCTTATTACATCGGGCAAAATTAGACAACAACGAAGATTTGAAACACTTTTCAAATACTTTAGAACGTGTTTGTATTGAAACTATTGAGTCTGGTAAAATGACAAAGGATTTGGCTATTTGCATTAAGGGAATGAGTAATGTTCAAAGAAGCGATTACTTAGAAACATTTGAATTCATGAATGCATTAGCATCTAATTTAGAAAAAGCATTGAAAAAATGACTCACATGTTCCAGAGTGTCACATTTATGATATTGCATCAATTTCCTCTTGGAATTTTCATATAATTTTTTTTTTAGAAATTTCTGGGCGCTTAATTATTTATAAAGGCGGTAATTGAATAAGTTATAAAAACGTATATTGTTAACTTTTTATATCACATGCAATTGCAATAAAATAACATTTAAAAAATATTTAATTTTTTAATTAATTTATTCCCCTAGTTAAAAAATACGATTTTTTATTCAATTAATTTATTAGTTTCAAAGAACAATTTTTTTTTAAAAATTCTTATTAAAAAAATTTATGTTAGTCAATTTTTATATAAAAAGAAAATTCGTGGCTTAAACTTTTATTTCCTTGACATAGGCAATAAGTTAAAATATCGCGGAGTTTCTTAGAACAATATCTTCATAAAAAACTTTACAATTCATTTTTATATTTAGTTTAGCACACAGTAAAAATATTCCTGACAGTTTTCGATGAATTGAATAAATTTCTTCTGGTGGAGGGCAGAGTCTATGGGCAACCATTGTGGGTACTAATTGTGCAATTTTTTCAGTAGTTTTTTGTCTTCCAAAATCAAATTCACCATCAAATCGGAAGATTTCTCCCAATATCATAACAGCGTCGGTATGAGCTTCTTCCATCTGTTTTGTTTCATAACCAGTTAAAAATCCCATTTCTCTTGATATATTTAAAACTTTTGATCGATCATCATTTGCAGCTGCAATTATAATTTCACGATATTTTTCTATAAAATCTTTTGAATAGAATCTTGTTGACCCAAAATCAATTAACATTAAAGTTTTTGAGTTTTGATCATATAAAAAGTTTGACCAATTGGGATCAGTTTGCATACACAATAGCTGAAATAATTCACGAAGGCAAAGTTTTAAAACAGATTGACCTATAAACAATCTATGTTGGTAGCTCATATCAAAACATTTGTCTAACGGAACTCCAGCGACAAACTCTGTTGTCAATATATATTTTGTAGATAGCGGTTTTATAACTTTCGGTACATAATATTCTTTATACGGCTCAATCATTTCCTTGAACTTTTCTGTGTATTCGGATTCCCTTGTGTAATCAACTTCCCAGTTAAGCTCTCTTTTAGCCACTCTTACAACATTGTCTATGAAAAATCCCTTTGGAAAGATATCCCATACTTTCATCATCGATACTAAATTGTCGATATCGCTTTCAATACTTTGAGCAACTCCAGGATATTGTACTTTAACTGCAACAACAGTTCCATCTCTTAAAATTCCTTTATGAACTTGGCCGATACTAGCCGCTGCAAATGGTTTTTCTTCAAAATTATCGAAATTTTCTCTCCAATCGACGCCTAATTCATTGCTTATTGTTTTACTTACTTGCCAGTCTGGCATATAATCTGCAGCCTGCCTGACACGTTCAAAAGCTTTAACTATTTGGGGTGAAACTATATTTGTATCTTGTATACTTAATATTTGTCCCAATTTCAAGGCTGCTCCACGAACTTTACACAAAGTATCAACAATTCTTTCCGTATTTGCTGGACTAAAGAACGCTTCCTTTACATTACTGGAACCACCTAAACCAACAGCATTTTTGGCTAATTCATTAACTGTGCCAAATCCTAAACTGGCAAATAAAGCACCAAAAGAAGCAAATCTTGCTAATCTTGTAGATGGAACTTTCCGTTGTTTTGCGATAGTTGTTAAATCTGCAACTTTTTGTGGCTCTTCAGAATTAGGTATGTTGGATTCTTTATCGTCTTTAAATTTTCCTGTTATGGCAGACATTATATTTTCTACTTGTTTTTCATCTTCTCGAAAAATATTTGCATCTGGTTTTTGCAAATTTATCTGCTGTGGAGTTTGATTCAAAGTTTTATAACTAGGCTCAGTTTTTTCTACAGTATTTCGATTCTCCACCAACTTTGTTTGTTGAGTATTTACTCTTAAATTTATTTGACGATCTCTACCATGTTTTGCTAAAATTTGTTCTAATTCTTTAAGAGTTATCGACGATACATCAATATTTTCCGGTAATTCATTTTTAATATTTGCTTGATCGTTCATTTTAATATTATTTCCTTTAACAGCAGATTCTGAATTATTATAATTGAAATTAGTATTAATTTTAATGTTCATCAGTTGTCTAAGGCCTTCAGTAACAACATATGTTCTTTCTGCAGCTTCCTTAATTAATCCTTGCACCTTTTTCGTTTCTCCTTTGGGATTTGACGTCCAAGGTTCTGTTAAATTTTTTGATAAATTTATATTATTTTCAATTATTTCTTTTGCACTTGAATTTGCCCATTTATGTTTGATGACTAATTCATTTTCTTTTAACCCAGCGCCTACAACTTTTTGAATACCTCGTAATACACCTAAAATTTCTTGAACACGCAACATCTGTACTGTTCTAATACTCGTTTTTTGTTTACAATTTACCTTTATATTAATAAGGAGTTGTATATGATTTATTCGAAAAGTAAATAAAAAAGCATTATCAGTCAAGAATATTTTAAAGAAAAACTCATTTAATACTTACAAAGCAAAATCTGTAATTAATTTCATCATAATGCGATAGACATTAACACCAACACACACTGATATTTAATTTGCCTACCATATGGTAATCAGTGGTCGTATTAAACTGCAACAAATTACCTAAAATTACTGAAATTCCCAAAATCATATGTTGTTTATTTACTTTAGAACTCAAACCAGATAAATTAAATTTTCTCACTTCCCAGAATTCTATGGAATCAAAAACAAATATAACGCCACCTTGTGTAAAAACTACATTTCATTTTAGAATATCTTTCAGTTAATGATTACAGCGACTCTATATTCAACAATAATAATTATTCTGACATGAATGTCACTTTGATTTGCTTCTATGAGAAGAAAAAATAAGCAAAAAGTAAACATTAGTTTTTAATTTTCTAATATTTTTTTCTTATTTATAAATTTAAAACAAATTTTAAGCCAAAATAATGGTAGAAAATATGTGTAGAGCTTGCTTACTCTCTGAAGATAATGAAATTTCATTTCAAAATATGAGGATACCATTTATGGATCAGGATAGTTCAACCATAGGGATTATTTTTAGTAGAATCAGTACAGTAAGACATGATCCAAACGATGGACTGCCGCAAAAAATTTGTCAAAAATGTCTTGAACAGCTATCTTCTAGTTATGAATTTCAAAAGAAATGCATTCAATCTGATATAGAACTTAGGAATTTAATAGGAAATGTTCCTGAGTATGCTGCAACTAAAAACATTAAAATAGACAAAGGAATTAAAATTGAAACGGGAGAATCGGAATTAGAAGCAGAAATTGATGATTGGTTTGTTTATAGTGATGAAGAAAAACCGACACACGTATTTGATTGTTTAGCTGAATCAATTAACAGCATAGAAGATCCTCCCATTGAAGGGTAAAAAATTTAAACAGATAATTTAATGCAAAACTAATTTTTATAATTTTAGACCAAATCCAAAAAATAAAAGAAAAAGTCGATATAAATGTGAAGTTTGTAATAAAGTTTTCGACAGAAATTCTAGTTTTACTCGTCATTTGAAATCTCATAAGCCAGGAGAGATTTTTGACTTTGAATGCGAAATTTGTAATTGCAAGTTTACAAAGGAAAAAAATCTTTCAAAACATTTAAAAGAAAAGCATACAGATTCCACTGAAGGATGTTTTCCTTGTCCACATTGTCCACGAAAATTTTTAAAAAAAGCTTCAAGGTCGGCTCATATGCAATGTCATAAAATTGGATCTAGTTTTAATATTGGAAAATTTGATGTGGAAGAAGAACAAGAGATAGAGGCGGAAGAAGTTAAACTCTTTGGAGTTGACGTAAAACCATTAGAAATACCTAATTTGCATAACCTGGAAGATCATCAAATCGAAAACAGCATAAAAAATATCAAAATGGAGAACACTAATGATCCAGCGTTTTTGATTTTCAGAAAAGAAGGGACAAATTATGACGATAGCGATGAAGTTGAATTGTAAATATGTTGCTGATATTAGAAAAAATAACATAAAATTTAAATTTAGTATATTTTAAAGGAAATTACAAATTATTATTGTGTATATTTTAGACCAAACCCCAAAAATAGGAGAAAAGCGATTCATGAGTGCGAAGTTTGTGAAAAAAAGTTCGACAGAAAATATCGATTACAAAGGCATTTAAATATTCATAATCCAGAAGGTCGTCCGTTTGAGTGTCCAGTTTGTACGAATTCTTATGTGCATCAAATTATTAACTCTTAATTAAAATTTTATTCATTTCGTAGGCAAATGGCGTTTTGCATCAGAACAAAATTTAACAAGACATGCAATTATGCATACAGCAGTTGCCGATTGTATTAAGCTAAATGATGAGAAACCCAAAATTTATCGATGTTTATACTGTCCTAGGAAATTCGCAAAAAAAGAATCGTTAGCATCACATATGAGAGTACATAAAGCGAATATGCCTCCACAAGAGGCACAAGAAAAAAATTTCAAATGTCAGTTTTGTCCAAAAGCTTTTTACAAAATTACTTCTTTGACCAGACACTTATATACTCATGATGATGAAAAAGATTTTAAGTGCAATTTATGTGATAAAAGTTTTTCCCTTCGAGGACAGTTGGTAGATCATATGAATTGGCACAAAGGAATTAAACCATTTCGCTGCAGCATTTGCCCAAAATGTATTAGAAACTCAAAAACTTAATTAAAATCTAAATTAATTTGATGTTTTTTTTTTTGAAATAGCATTTAATCAGTCTTGTACATTAAAAGATCATATGCGGACGCATAGTGGTGAAAAACCTTTTCTATGTTCAGAGTGTGGCAAAGGATTTAATAACTCTTCTAATTTGAGGCAACATACATTAAGACATTCAGGTGATAGACCTTTTAAATGCGCTGAATGTCCCAGCAGTTTCACTTCTAAAGGTATTTGTGTGTATTCGTAATGTATTCTAATTTTTAAAAAATGTGTTAAAATTTAAGGGGGCTTAAAATCCCATATGAGTACTCATACAAAACTTAAACCTCATGTTTGCGACACTTGCGGGTAAAATACATAAACATAAATAACAATTTTAACTAGATAGAATAAAATACATTTCTTTAAGGTCTGCCTTTACAAAGCGATACAGTTTGAAGAAACATAAACGTATTCATACCGGAGAAAAGCCGTATGAATGTTCAACATGCCATATGAGGTATATTGGTGGTATATTAGGGGTAGTAAACCTCAATTTTCGAAAATTTATAATTATGAAATTTTTATCTAATACGTTAATTTTGATTTTTATATTTTTATATAACTTGTCTTACCATTAATGTATAAAGTAAATTTTAACTGTTATATTCGTCTTTAAGGTTCACTTCGTCTAATCACTTGAAACGACATATAAGAACTCACACTGGTGAAAAACCGTATGCTTGTAAATATTGCGAGCGGGCTTTTGCTCAAAGTAATTTTGTTATATTTTCATTGAAACTTAAAGGATACTAAATGTTTTGTTTTGTTTTAGGTAATGATCTCGTTAAACATTTAAAATCTCATTTGGGTGATAAAATTTACAAATGTGATAGATGTGGGCAGTCCTTTAGATTACATACTGAACTTCGCGATCATCTATATCAACATTATCGCGAAGAAAAGCAGCTTCAACAGCAGTTGCTTGTCGTACAAGAATTAAAGAATCAAGAAATGAAAGTTTCAATAAATTCTGATATCAATATAGTTAGCAATACTAATATTAATATAGTTAATAATGCTGATAACAACATAGTTAGTAATACTAATATTAGTATAGTTAATAATGCTGATAACAACATAGTTAGTAATACTAATACCAACATAATTGTTAATACTGATAACAACATAGTTAATAATATTGATAACAACATCGTTAGTAATGTCGATAACAACATCGTTAGTAATGTTGATAACAACATCATTAGTAGTGCTGATACCAATATAGTTACTAATCTAGATAATAAAACTATAGTATTAAAGTCTGAAATCCCAGAATCTGCAATATATCCAATGGAGTTGCAGTATCAATGTTCAAATTGCGATTCAATTTTTCCTACTCCAGAAATTTTACACGTACATCAGATTAATGAACATAAAATTGATAACTAGAATTAAAATTGCATATAAGGATTTAAAAACCAGTTTTTTTTTTTTTTAATCTAGGAAAACTGATAAATTTACAAGTTAAAGGAATAAAAATTTATTTAATGTAAATAAAAACATTGGTTTCATTCTTAATAACGCCTTTTCAGTGCATTTGGAAAATTTTTTCGTAAATGAAATCAAAATGATTTGTCGAAATATGAGAAAATTTTAAAATAAAAAAAATCATAAATCATTTGTTTAATCAATTCAGTTCAATTTGGGTGTTATTTTATATAAAAATACCTAATAGTTGAGTGGAAAAAGTTTTATTCAAATTATTTGGAGCTCGATACCCGATTGTTTATTTCTTCACAAATTTTATTCAAGAATTAAGAGCCAAGTTTATCGTAAAATTTTAAATTATAAATATAGGACTTTTTAGGGAGTAAATTTGAGGTTCCACTTAGTCAACTGATTTACCGGAATGAATTTCTAATAATTTTTTTCATGATAATGGAAATTGAAATCTGTTACTCCTTTTCTTCGAAAGTGAGACTTAAATATGTACAGGAAATCGACAACAGTTTAGAACAAAAAATATCCTTAAAATTTTTATAATATTTTTATACTAAATTTATTATTGTAGGGTTATGATAAAGAGCATTCGATAGGGTTTAGTGATGAGATTTTTAAAGTATTTACTTTACAATTGGGACTTTTAAATTCCAGAATAGGCTCCTTTTTTAATCACAATCGAAGGTAATCAGATACATAGATATGGAATATCGAAAAATATGTTATGAAATTTTTCTCAGTTCCTGAACCAAATTAAATTTGGTTCAGGAACTTTCTTGAAAGGCTATCCAACATGAACACAAGTTCAAAGAAAGAAGAGTTTTAAAAAGGACTTGTATGAATAGAAATTTTATTCAGATAAATTTTTAGAAATCGATTCTACCATATCCTAGTCACCTAAAGAAGTTTCAGAGGACTCAATAAAGTTATCAATCACAGTTACTATGACATATTTTGAAAAAAAAAAGTAACCGATCCCGAGACAAGTTCAATCGAATATGGTTTTGCAGCATGGATCCTTATACATAAATCGAAAGTGATTTAAACTATGATTAAAAAATTAAATGAGATTTGATTTTTGATACAAGTGATACAATTGAAAAGATTCAATAAAGAAAATAAAATTCGGCTCGTACATACGAAACGAAACACTCAAAAATAGACCTCATATACGTTTTTTTTTTATTTAATAACTTCTTTATGTAATATAAAAACTTAAATATTTCGCTTATTTTTTTTATTTATATCTTATTTTTCTTTAGTGTATATAAATTAAAATAAATACATTTTTATATTTTTTTTTCGTTTTTTTTTTATTTTTTTTTTTTTTATTTTTATATAATTTTTATAATTTTTTGTAATTTATATTTTTTTTTTGTTTTTTTTCTTTTTTTTTTTATTAGATTTATTTTTATTTATTTGTTTTTCTTTTTATTTTTAATAATAACACATTAATTATTTTCTTTAACTTTTGCATATACAACAAAAAAAAAAAAAAAAAAAAAAATAAAATAAAGTTTTTTTTTCTTTTTTTTTTGCCTAACACGAATTTTTCATTTTAACTCGTTTTTATTTTTCCTTTTTTTTTTCTTTTTTCTTTTTTACTTTCTTATTTTAATTTTTAACATTCTTTGTTTCATTTTTTTTTTTTTTAATTTAGTTTTCACCTTTTCTTTATAGTCCTTTAATTTAATTATAATTATATTTTTTTTTTCTTATAATCTTTTTCATTTACTCTTTAAACAAGTGTATATATTTCTTTCATTTTTTTTATAATTTATATAATAATAATATTATTAATTGTATATTTATGTTTATTAATTGTATATTTAATATTATTAATTTGTATAAATATATATAAATTTATAGCGTATGATGATTAAAATTTAAATTGAAAATTTATCAAAAAAAAAAATAATTTATTTATTTTTTAAAGAAATGAGAAATTCTTATAAAAATAATTTAATTTAAATTGAAATTATAGAAAAAAATTGTGAACTGATTATTGTGAATTAATATTGAAATAATTTAATATTGCCATTCAGTATTAATTTTGAGAGTTTTTCAATATCAATAAGAATTTTAAATAATTTTAAAAAAATATTTTCAAATAAATATAACAATTGAAAAAGTTAAAATTAGTTAGTATAACAGTTATATTTCAAATTTAGCAATTTCTTTAATAAATGTTTGTTTAAATCACACATGTTTTATAACTAATAATTAAGAATTCTCTTAAAATTTTTAAAAAATATTTAGAATTTTTGAAGAAATTTTTTAAAATTACTCAAAAAATTTTAAATATATTAAATAAAATTAAAAAATTCTAATTTTCCATTCATTTTAATTATAGTTTTTTAAAATTATAAATTTCATTGTAAATTACTTTTACATAATTATTTTTAAGCTTTTACTATTAAAAATAAATTGTGTAAAAATCGAGAGAAATAAAAAAAAAACTTCAATTTTCAATAAATAAAATTAATTCAAATAATTCAATATTAATTGAAATTTATTAAATAAATATTTATTTAGAAATTTAAATATCTGAAAATTTTATTTAATAAAAATTTAAATTTTTGATAAATTTTCAATTTTAATTATTACAGTAATTTATATATAAATATAAAAATTGTTATTTTGCATTTAAGAATTTATATATATATATATATCCCTATATATATACATATATATATATATATTTGCATATACATATTATACTTATTATATTTTGATATACGTATAATTTTTCTCTTTTTTTTCATCTTTTGTATATTTAAATCTTATTTAATTTATTCTTAATTTAATTAATTAAATAATATATGAATATGTTTATATATATATGTATATATATATATATATATATATATATATATATATTCCTTTGCTTTAGTTTTCATTTTTTTTTTGTGTTTTCTTTTTATTTTTTAAATATTTTATGTATTTAATATAAATATATAAATAAAAATATACATAATTTAAATGTAATAAACATATATTATATAAGTTATATATATTATATATATATATATATATATGATATATAAATATACATTTTATGTATACATTTCATTTTATGTATACAATTTCCATAAATATGTATATAATTATATAATATGTAAATTTATTTTAATGCATCCAATCATATCCAATTTATTCTCTTCTCTATTTTTGTTTTTAATTTTATTTAATTTCATATTTTTTTTTGTTTTCTGTGTTTTCATTTAAAAATAAGATTTTTTTATTTATTTTAAGTTATATATATATATATATATATATATATATATTTGTTTATTTATTTAATTATAAATACTTAAAATCGTATATATATATATATATTTATATATTGTAATGCAACAATATATATATATATATTAATATATATGATGATTTTGTAAGTATTTTATATAATTTTATGTTTTTTAATATTAAATTTATTTATATTATTTTTTTTTCTCTTTTATTTAATTTATATAAAATAATTTTTTTCTGGTTTTTTTTTTTTTTTGCATTTCTTCTCATTTTAGATAAAATTCTACTATTTTTACATATTTAATTCTTATAATTTCTTTTCTTCTCCTTCATTTTTGTTTTTTGTTTAGTTTATGAAAAATAAAATGAAAAAAATAAATATATTTATGTACTTTTATGCTTTGTTTTTGTGTTTTGTTTTTAGGAAGATACTTTTGTTTTTTTTTTCTGTTTCTGTATTTTTTTTTATATATTTCTTCTTTTTTAAAATATTTAATAATGTTTATTTTTTAGTGTAATTAATTATATCTATTATTTTTCGTACCTTGTTTTTTTTTAAGCTTTTTTTTTTGTATTACAATGATAGTATTTTTTTTTTGTTTTGAATAGTAATTGAATTTCAGAGTAAAATTAAGTAAAAATATATTAAAAAAAGAAAATTATATTTGAAATTATATTGTTAATTTAAATAAATAAAAAAATAAGTACATTTTAATTAAATTGTAATTTGATCAAAAAAATATTTATTTAATAAATTATATGCATTGATTTTTAATTTATTTTATAATTTTATTTCAAAAAAGAATTATTTTTTGCAAACAGAATTAGAATTTTAAAAGAGTACATTTTAACAAAAAAAAAAAGAAAATAAAAATTATATTTTATTAAATTGTAAACAAATTTTCTATTTTAAAGATATTAAAGAAGAAAGAATAAAGAAATCCAAAGAAGAAATTAAAAAAAATATTGAAATCAATAATTTAGGAAAAAAAATATAGAAAGAAATATTTTCAATATTATTAAACCCTTTATTCTTTAAGACTTGAGACATCACTTGAAACACGATTATTCAAAATTTTTATAGTCGTCAGAATAACAAATAAATTTCGAAATTTAGAGATTCTATATTGAAAACTTTAATATTTTTGAATAATATCCCATAATATCAAGAGAATAACATACATGTGTTAAATACATGGGTATACATGGATTAATAATATATGAGTTAAATTTAATTGTTGTCTATTGGAAATGATAAAACCAAAATTTAAAAATATTTATGAAAAACAACTGAAGTTTAAGTATTAATAATAAATATGGATAAATTTAATAATATTTCTCCTTCATGTCATATCTTTTAATTAAAAAACTATTTTTATTTATTAAGAAAAATATAAAATTCGAAATTTGTGTTTCTTTTTTTGTCTTTTTATTTTCTTATATTTCTTTTTTCTTCGTTTAGAAATTATTCAATTTTAATATGAATTTAATATTTTTAATTTAAATCTGAGAAAAAAAAAATTATATTTAAATATTGTCAATACATACATTTATTTCTCTTTTCTTGAGTTTCCACATTATCAAAAAATTATATAATTCAATTATTTTCAAAAATCTAAAAAAGTACATAATTATAAAAAAAAAAAAAGAAAGGGAAATTAGAATTAGTTTTTATTTCCATAAAAAAAAACTCTTTTCAATTCCGGAAATACTTTTTTTAACCTGAAATCTTATTAAAAATAATTTTATTAAATAACAAAAAATATATATGTATATAAAAAAAAAAATAAAATGAAAATTCATTTATTAATAAAAAAAAAAAAAAATAACAAATTTAAAAGAAAAAAATTAAAGTAAATGAAAATTACAGAAAATTATTTTCAAAATTAAACAAAAAAAATAATACGAATTTTCATTGAAATTTTTTTTCAAATCCTTTTTCTTTGTTTTTTTTTTTACTATTAATATTAATCCTTGAATGAAAAAATTTATACATATAACAATTTGAAATTATTTTGTATTTATGTGTGTTCATATTTTACTGTATTTCTTTTCGATTTTGTAATCTACAAAATATTATAACAATTTAATAAATAAAACAAATTAATGAACATATGAAAAAAATTAAAAAAAAATATTAAAAAAAAAAACAAATTATTTTTTTATAAATTTTCGTTAATAAATGGCACCAAGTTTGTTTTTCTTTATTAATTATTTTTTAATTATTTAAAAATTTAAAAAAAAAAAAGTGTTCAAATATTTTTTTATGTATATTGTAAACTTTTAATGGTCCCATAAATTGGAAATTATTATTTTCAATCTTCTCAAAATTGAAGAAAATTTCTTTTTTTTTTTTTTTTTTAAATAAAAAATATCCAAAGAAAAATAAAAAAAAAAAAATTTTATTTTTTTATATTTCAAAATTTTAAAGTAATTTAGAAAATTTTATTTAAAATCATAATTATAAAGTACATATATAAGGTGTTCTTTTTTTCTTTGAGTTTTAACAGTTGATGTTTAACGATTTCATTAAGAATGCTTAAGCATGATGCAAATATAATAAAAACAATTCTACATAATTCCGTCTCATAAAATTGTTAATCGTTACTAATGAATATTTTTGATTTGATTCCGTTCTGATGTTAGTTCGTAATGATATCAAAAACAAAAATTATCAAAAAAATCAATTTGCTTTTTAGTAGAAATGATTTGAAATAATTGCTTCTCCCAAAGAAAACAAAAAATACACCTTATATAAAAGAAATCGATCCTGAAATTTTTATTAATTTTTCATATTCGGATATGCACAAGACATAATTTTTAATAGGAAATAGGAAAATAAAAATTTTTTAGAATCTTTTATTAATTTTGTATTGAAATTCTTTAAATTTTCTGTTTTTAAAAAATATTCTTAAACATTGTAAAATATTCTTATAGTTTTAATATTTTTCTGATTTCAATATTTTTTTTTTTTGTTTAAAATAATCTATGAAATGAATATGAAAAATTTTTAATTTTAATTTCAAATCAGGTTCAATTCAAATGAAATTTTTTAAGTAAAAAGAATAAATTTTTAAATTTTTTTACTTGATTACATATTTATAAACATATTTTTTTTTTATATAATTTTCCATATATTTTTTTTTTCATTTTGTCTTTTATTTAACCATCACATGTCACCACAAATTTTATAAATTTTTTTTTTGTTTTAAAAAATAAAAATTCGTATTTTTATATACACACTTATTATTTATTTTCTTTTCTTTTTTTTTTGTTTATAATTTAATCTGAAATTATTTTAATTTTAACAAGGTAAATTAACAAATTTCAATCGCATATACTTTTATCAATAATAAATAGTTTTTTATCTGAAAAATTTTGAAATAAAAATTAAAATTAAATAATTATTGAAATGAATGCATGACCATGTGGCTTTTCTAGTTTTTTTTTTTTTTTTAAATTAATTCAATAATTAAATTCAATTTAAATTTATTTATGTATAAAAATTATACTCGAATATAATTAAAAAAATTTACTTTTATTATTTTGTTTATTTTTTTCTTTTAGAATGAAATTTCTTTCTTTATTTTAATTTGAATTTTAATTTATAATATTATATATAAATGAGCATATAAATCTAAAACTATTTAACATTATTAAAAAATATGATTGAAAATTATTTTATAAATCAATTGATTCAAAAAAAAAAAAAAAAAAAAAGAAAAATTAATTAAGGAATAAATTCATTTTTTTCATTTTTGTTTTTTTTTTTGTTTTCGTATGTACATTTTTTAAATTAAAAATTTTAACCCAGTTTGTATGTAGCATTTTGTTATAATACATTTATTGGATATTAATTATTTAATACTTTATATATTCATATATGATTTATTTAATAAAATTTATACATTTAATTTATTGATACATATACAATTCTATTTTATTTTCTTATTTTTTTTTTTTGTTTGTAATTACTTAGTTTTTTTTTTATGTTGATTTTCAGTTTATTTTATAATAAAATGTATTTTTTGTTTGTTTGTTTGTTTTTTTTTTTGCTTCACAGTTAAGTCATAGTAAAATTTATTATTTAATTTTAATATAATTTAAGTAGTATATTGTAAATTTACAAATTAGATATATACATATTATATATTGAATGAAATTTTGTAATAATGCAATGTAAGTGATAATAAATAATAATTTTTCTTTAAATGTATTAGAAAAACATAGAGTATATAATTATGTTCAATATTGTAAATTAGAAAATTTATTTAAAGAGCAAAAGTTTCAATTAAACAAAAAAAAAATTTTTCAAAATCGGAATTTAATTATCAATATATAATATATATATATTTAAAATGTACATAATATTTTAGATTGTACAATTATATAACAATTTAAGTAATATAATTTTCATATAAATTTTTAAATAATTAGATAAATTAGAAAAAAAAATAAAAATTAAATTTTTAACGTAAAACAAATTAATTTTTTGAATAGATTTTGAATAGAATAAAAAAAATTCTTTTAATTAAATTTCAGTAATTGAAAGTCGAAGTTTTTACTTTTAATATGATTTTAATAAAGTTATGGTATGTATAACTTCATGAACTTAGTTGAATAAATTATAATAGATTACAAAAGTCGAATTCTTTATAAAGATTTCTAAAATTATTTACTCTTTTAATTTTTTTTGCGTATGAAATTATTTTATATTTTATCTGACAACCATTTTTTTTATTATATTTAAAAAAAATATAATTTAATAATTTCCATTTATATATTTAATTACTCATTTAATCTCAATAAATTTAATATATTTTCAATTATTATGCATAATTTGTAATAAAGTTAAAGAAAATAATGGATTGAAATAGGTCATATATTTTATTGGAAATTTTTGTTTATTATATTTTACAATAAACAATAAATTGATATAATATAGAAATGAATTTTATTGTTAATATCTTTGACTAATAGAACATTTACAAAGAATGCAGATGTAATGTCAATTTAATTTATTCAGCAATACAATTTAAATTGCTACGACGTTAGATGTGCATTTTGGTAAACACTCGTAAATTGAAGATTGTAAATTGTGTTAGAAATTGTATATATGAAAAGTATGTTTTTGTATGTTTTCATAAAACATACAAAATTATGGAGGAAATTTCTTTTTCATCGATGAACTCGATAAACTGAGTGACATTTCATTGTTCGGCAGATTATCATTTATCATATAAAATAGTTTTTGTTTTGTAATTTAAATTTTTACATTTGGTAAGTAACAACAGTAGAACTTCATATTTAATGAATTTATACCCAGTATATATGCAGTTTTTGTTATATAATTGTACTTTTATTTTTTAATATGTAATAAGGTCGTTTTTATTTTTAGTAATGCGAAAATTGATGTGTAAATTGTTTTTTTGTCTTTTTTTTTATTTTTAATTTTGTTGGTGTGTATTTTGTATATAAATTATATAAAATTAATATTATAGTCATTTAAATTTTTTTCTATTTTCTGTTGACACATGAGGTTTAGTTTGCAATTCAGTTACAAATTATTTTTTATATGTGTATATAAATATAATTTGTAGAAATATAATTGTATACATGAATATTTATGATATAAATCTGTAATAAAATAATAAATATATGATAGTTTTTTTTTTTTTTTTTAATTCTTTACGGATATCATTTATTTATAATTTTAACTGCTTTTAATTTATACCATCTGCTTTTTTTTTATACTTCAATTCTTTATTTTTTTTATTTTTTGTAAGTCACACGCCAATATCGTAATATAATGAGATCTTAGCATTTATTTTTTTTTTATATTTAATATTTTTTTTGTTTTTTAAATTAATATTAACGTAATTTATAATGACTTTAGTTATGATAGCGTGATGTGATCCTATTTTTTTTATTTTGTTTAGAGAAGTTTTACGATGTATTTTGGAAATATAGTGTTAATATGGTTAATGTTTATTTTTATTCTTTTTTTATGTTATTATTTTTCACTTTTTGAATATCCTGTAATATATTATATTTGTTAAATATTTTTTTAATTGAACTTTTTTATATCTGTATTTTATGTTTCTTCTGTATTTTTTTTTTTGAACATTTTTGCTGTAAATGAATTTTATTCATTTTTACGATATTTAACTTTTACTATGTAAATATATATATATATGTCTATTTGTATATATATATAGTATTTATATATATTAATACATATTTATGGTACTTAAAATGTTACTTTTAAAACTATTAGAAACAGAAAGTAAAGGAAAGAGAATCGGAAAACTATAATAATAATTATATTAAAGGCAGAGAAAAGAATATGAATTATCCTTAATTTAACGCATTAATTAAAACTTAACGTGACGGTTTATTTCCTTTATAATTGGGATTTGGATGCCTTGGTTGTATCTGTCTTGGTGCTAAAATGAAAATTATTTTATTTTTAAAAATTTTCAATAGATGTATTTTAATATTTACCTGGAAGCATCATATTCACCGTCGAATATATTGGTGTCAATGATGGCCTGATTTCATTAGGTGGTGATCTTCGATTATTTGGCAATGTCGCCACTGATGGCTACATTATAATGAAATTAAATATAAAAAAAATTAGATTATTAATAAACTTAAATCTTATTTAAGAGAATTAGATTTTTATATTTTTTGCTAGCTATAGTAATAATAAATAGGAAGAAATTTAATTAAATTCAATTTACGTTATAAATTGTAATCAATTGTTATAACATTCAATACATACATGTGCGAAATAGGTTTGTCCATATTTAAAATACATGCCGCCTGGCGCAACTTGATGATGATTATATGCACCAATTAAAGGTTGATGTGTGGCAGCAGCAGCAGCTGCAGCATCACTAACAACAGCCGCGGTTGCAGCAGCAATAGCAGCAGCAGTTGGTGTATGCATTGGTGGAATGTGCGCTCCTCTTGTCATATACATTGTTTGTTGATGTTGTTGCTGTGGCTGATGCTGATGCGTCTGCGGATGGGGTTGATGATGCTCAGCTGGTGCAGCTGTAGCAGTAACGGCTGTCATTATAACTGGTGTAGTCGGTATACCACCACCAGCATTTGGATTTAAGTTATTGTTATGATTATTATTATGGCTAGACGCAATACTGTTCGGTGAGTTATTATTGCTTTCAGCTGAATTTGTGCTGGGTGAATTACGTTGACTGCCATTCCGTTTAAAATCAAGATTTCCCGGTTTCTGTCGTATTCCACCAGGGCGAGGTTTTATATCGGAATTTAATTGTGCACTATTATTATTATTTGATGTGATTGAAGCAGCAGTCGCTGATGAATTTAAATTTGTACTGCTAATATTTTGAACTCCGACTGTATTGTTAGCGCCAGCGTTACCAATTGTGGTCGAAGATTGAGTTTTATCAATATTATTGATACGTTTATTATTGTTTGATTGGCCTGTATTATATATTTGACGATTATTATTAGAATTATTTGTGCTACTGCTGTTATTGTTACTAAAATTATTTACGGAACTATTTGTATTTTCATGCATTTTACGTTGATTGCTGTTATTTATATTATTTGAATATGCGTTTTGACGATTTCCTGAATTATTACTATTATAGCCTCCAACACCTCCGTTATTATTATGATTATTATTATTATGGTTATTATTGCTACCACTATTCTTTTTAACATTTGAATAGGAATTTTTCTTTTCATAGGACGATGAAGATACCGAATTAGTAGCACCAGAATGCGATTGCTGTTGATTAAACTGATGCTGCTGTTGTGATGAATGATGATGCTGATGTGTTTCTGTGTAATGTGGTTGTTGATAAGGATTATTTGCTATTTGAGAATTAAATCCGTTTGGTATCATCGGTGGCGTAGCAAATAATGGAGGATTATTTCTGTGTGGGGGATGATGGTGATGATTAATTGTTGGCAATGTTGTTGAGACAGGTGTGCTCGGTGTTGATTGTGGTGTGCAGCTGCGATTACCATGATTACCTGTAGAAATAATATTAAATATAAATAACATATTTTCTCTTTTTAAGTAAAATTAAAATATACCAGTTACTGCATTATTGCCATTAGTTGAAATAGAATGTGTAATAGCATTTGTATGTGGTTGTTGTTGAATCGAGATGGTGCCAGTTTGATCGATAGAAAGATGTTGTGGTGGCAGTATTGATCCTGGGGGTCCTGCTCCAGCTGGTTGCGCAATCATAGGACTAATCACAGTTTGAGATTGATGAGGAAGATGTGTAATTACACCAGCTGGTGTAGCTTGAGTTGCTTGCGTCGTCGGCACAAGTTGAGCTTGAGGTGGATGACCATAAGGAAGCATAGCATTTGGAAAAACTGCTGATTGCGGAATGGCATACATTGTTGGTCCATTAGGATCAGTTGTTAATGCAACTGGTACTCCAGCTGAAGTAGTAGTTGCAAATTGATATGTCGCATTTGCTGGGGTAGCAGATTGACTACTTTGACCACTCAAGTTTTGTTGATGTTGTTGATGTTGCTGTGACTGCTGTTGTTGTTGTTGTTGTGATGGAGTTTGAGTATGATGAGATTGGTGGTGTGACTGTTGTTGCTGGTGGTGATGATGATGGTGATGTTGTTGTTGTTGCTGTTGTTGTTGGTTACTATGATTGTGATGATGATGATGACTATGTTGTTGTGTTTGCTGTGGCGGTGTATTTCGTTTTCCACTTACTGTCCCGCTGTGACTACTATTACTATTGTTTGGTGGATTAATACTGCTACCAATGTTCACCGTCTGTGCGGTTGATGCTGTGCCGGCGGCAACGATAGGTAACGGTGGTGGCGGAATTATTGACGAAGATACCGCGTTTGCTAATGGCGGTTGAGGCACATAATATGTCATAGCTTGACCCCAGTAACCTTAACATAATTACAATGGATTACGACATAATACACGGTTTAATATACTAGCTTACCATTATAAGGATAAGAATATCCAACAGGATATGTGACCGGATATTGCTGTACTTGACCAGCTGCTGTAGCAGCCGGTGCTGCAACTGTGTTGGGAAATTGTTCTGGAGTATAAACAACTTGCTGTTGATAAATTGGGGCACTACCAAATGGAGCTGATGGATATGCTGCCACAGGCACAACCGTAGTACCACTACTTGGTTGATATACTGGTGTTGGTACAAGTGTAGTACCATCACGTGCTGCAGCTCCCTGATCATAAACAAAGTAACCCTGTATTTCGCTACCATCAATTGGTTGTGGATATGTGTAAACCATTTGCTGAGGTACAGCGTAGACACTACCATCGGGCTAAATTTTAATTTTATATATTTGAATTATTTTACGATATACATATATATTTTTTCACTTTTAACTTACCCCTTGTTGATATGTTGTTGTGGTATAAGGACCAGTTCCAGCAGGTTGAAAAACAGTGGCTCCATCTAATGTTTGATATCCAGTTGCATAGCTCATTATTGGAATATTTGAACTAATTGTTTTTGTTTCTTCTTTTTTATTATCTGTCAATGTCGTGGATGGTGTTGATCTTGTCGAAACATTACTGATACTTATAGGCGTTTGATTATCACTAGTTGAGCTTTTAATATTTGGTTTTCCAACCTAAAACATAAATTTCCATTTTACAATTGGATCAAATTTGAAAATTTGCTTTTCATATAAAAAAGAAAATATGTTTTTTTTTAATTAATTATCAAAAACTATATACCTCATTGGATGGAATAATAACAGTTGTAGTCAGATTATATTCTGGTTCGGGACTTGGTATATTTGGACTAGTTGCCTGATTTATAAACTTTGGTTTTTCCTGTAAATTTCTCAATTCATCATCAACTTTAAGAGTTGATTTTTCACATTCTTCATAGTTTGTAACTATTTCTAAAACAGTAAATATGTAAAATTAAAAAATAAACGCCAGTTAAGATTTCAAACGAAAAAAGTTTGAAAATTTGAGAGCTGTATTTATTCTTACCTTCTTCAATATCATCCATTTCACGATTAATCATAATTTGATTTTCTTTGGTTGATGAATCATCAAGATCATCATCATTGTCATCAATATCAATATTGTTCTGAATAATATTTCCGCTATTGTTATTATTTGGATTTATATTGACTACTGTTTGACCCGACATTTCTGATATATTATCTATTGATGTTGTACTAGTTGTATTAGTATCAGTTGAAGTTGAATTACTGTTTGAATTCATTAAATTAGTTCCATTTACAGGATCGATTGGAGTTGGTGTTGTTGAATTTACGCTATGAGAGAGTCCTGGCGATGGTGTATTAGCATTGTTGCTACAATTGTTATTATGTTGTTCTGTTGATGACGATTTCTTTTGTCTTTCCATTTTATTTTTACGATGAGCTGCAGATTTTAAATTTATTTCATTATTAAAATAATTATCAATTTCAATTTTAATATTATTACTATTGTTTGGATTGTTGTTGTACATTCCAGGCGCCACCGATTGATTAGGCGGTAAATTGGACGGGTCAAAATGATATACAGAACTAAAATTCAAAAAGAAAAGAAAAGTAACATTATGAATGTACATTAATTTTAAATTTAAAAAAAAACATTTATAATTGAAATTTTATTAACTCAATTAATTTACAATTATAACATATTTAAAAATTTTTAATTTTGTACACATTGACTTAAAAAATATTTATTAAGTGTTTATTATATTATAATATTAATTATATTTATTTTTTCAAAATTAATTTTCTTTTTTTTTTCTGTGTAGAATATGTGAAATTAGTTTAGGCGAAAACAAAAGCCACCGAAAATTTTATTTTAAACTAATTTTAAAGAAAAATGATTAAAATATTAAAATTAAAAAAAAAAAGAACAAAATTCCTCTAAGAATATAAAAGCTTGCGTGTTTTTCTCTAATTTGATTTCATTTTAATCATATACATTAAATAATATGTACAAATATTAGAGTACAAGTAAATCATTTTCATTTTGCATTGATGTAAAACACAAAAAAACAAAAACAGAAAGTTAAACATTGAAAAAGACAAAACTGACATATAAATACATACTTTTCATAATAGTTAGCGAAATAACAAATTGTAAAAATTCAAGCCAAGAATTGATTTCGCCATTTAAAATTTAAACAATAAAAAATACAGTTGCAATAAGCTTAAAATTCTATAAAAATGTTTAATTAAATATGAAAAAAATGTAAGATTCTAAGACTTGGTTTCGAGACTCATATAAGTATTAAATTAGTGAGCTTATTATACTATTTAAAAATTATGCTTGATACAATCTGAGAGGTAAATTTAATACACTAATCTTGAATCTAGAGCCTACAATATATGTATAAATATTTTTGTAAAACATCATTGCAATATATAAAAGCCGACAATCATTATTCCATTTTAAGTAAAAAAGTGTACATAACAACAAAATTTTTGAAAAAGAAAATACAAAGTAAAGTGTAAGAATTAGACAAAGCATAATAATTTGAATTATGTAATTTGAACATATATAAAGAAAGTTTTATATAGTATTGAATGTGCATTTAATTTAAAAATTAAGTTTAAATCGCCGCAAATCTCTTGAGCATTGAAAATGCATTAAAGAATGAAATTAAATTTCAGAGAAAGTAAAGTGCTTCGTTTGTTTTGTTAAGTCTTATTAATCGCACGCAAATGTACGTCTGCGTCTAAAAGAGATAATACACCAAATACTTGAAAAACTGTTGAGAACAGATGAGACTAATAGCAATTATATTTTTTATTTTCTTCACTATATTTCAAAATTTTAACTAACATGTCATTTAACACGTAAAACTTTTAAGATTTTTGAATTAAAATTGAATAATTTTTAATTAAAACTAAAAATATAACCAAAAAAAAAAGAATTAAGCAAACTCATGAAGTTTAGTATTTTCTTAATATTTAATTAAAATTTAAGTTATTTTTCATTTAGTGCTCAACAAGTAGTGCTTATGTTTGGCTTAGAACTTTCAGTGAAGTTAAACTTTGCAAAATTAATGCAGTGGAAAAGCATTTCATTTTTTTTTTGTGTGTTAACGCATTGTAATAAAAATGCATTATAATCTACTTCAAAATATTTAAAATTTTTTCGAGTCTTGCCGTTATTAGAATATTTTTTGCATAAATATGGCTTTAATTATATTTAAAAAAAATATGCGACATATTTATGAGCTAAAAATATCAAATAAAACAATCTAGAAAAAATTTTTCGTCTTTTTTTTTTCCTTTTTAATTAAGACAATTAAGATTTAAAAAAAAATTAAAAAAGAAACAATTTTAAAGCAAGTGAGATTAAAATATTAGTGAGAAATTTTTTGAACTTTTTTCTTGGAAAAGTTCGAAACAAACAAAAAGATATACAAAAAACAGTTAAATAACCTTAAAAGAAACACAATGTTTAAAATTATATATAAAAAAAACAATTTTAAAACAAGGGAAAATGCTTTAAATAATTATTTTTTTTTTTTTGTAATTTTTTGTTTTGGTATAATTACCCGTCTTGATTGACGAACGGTTGCAATGTATGCGGATTTATTAAAACACTGCCTCTTGGCACACTAGCCATATCAGTAACGGCCCATACAACACCACAAGAGGCAGGGGCAGCAGTTGTTTGTTCAATTAACAGTTCTGATGACGTATGATCATCACTACTACCATAACCACCAGTTGGTGAAGGAGTTATGGAATCAGAACGCAGAGATTGTGTTTGTGTTTTATATCTATACAAAATTTTGAGAATGAAAAATAAACACACAAAGATAATCACTGCTTTTTTTTTTGTTTTAATAAAATAAAATTGAGATCATTTTAATTTTTGTTGCTTTTCTTTCAAAATTCGTTTTCTAAATTTCATAATTTTGTACCTAGCAATAATGTGTTAGTTTAAAATTAAAATTTTTAAACAAAATGAAAAAAATTAAAAGGTAAATAAAGTATTCCATAAAAAAGTATTTTATTATTTTTTTTTAATTTTCGAAATTTAAATTGTTGAAATTTCTTTAAAAATTTTAATTATTTAGAATTATTTTGAACAGCTAATAAGTATTTATTATTTGACATACATTCGAAATTATTCTTAATTTATCAAGGTCTTCATCCTTCGCATTGAATCTAAAAACAATAGGTATTCGAATCTGAAGAGAATTTTCGAATTTTTCATATACATTAAAAAAAAAATCGTCAATTAAGTTTTTAGTTCGTTTCTCAATTTTGAATTTAAGCTGACAAACAAGTCGCTACTATCGATTCCATTAAACCACAAGGGAGAATACATAAAAGTATTCGTTCTTTGAATAACGTACGATTACTTCTTTCTTTAAAAATTTTCATATTATCTATGGAATACTTTAAACTATTTAAAAAATAAGTTAATTAAATGAAAACCAAAAATATAAAATTTATAATAAACTTATAAAAAATTTAAACTTATTAAAGAAATGATAATGTAAGTATGAAATTTTTATTTCCGCTTTATATTATTTTTTTTATTATTTTTAAAAAAAATCTCTTTAAATTCCTATTTTTAACATATCTACGCTGTTTTCTTTAATGTTATTAAATAATTAATTTTGAAAAAATAAAATTAAAAAGTTATTTAGGATTAATTAAAAAAAATAAATAAATAAATTGAAAATTAAAATGTGATACAAATTTGAAACTAAAAATAAATTTTCTAAAACAATAAAGTGGTTAGGAAAGGGAAAACCCAAAAAAAAAAAAAAAATAACTTCCACTACATATACAAAAAAAACATAAAACTTCCAACTTACCCACTACTTGATGGTGATAAACGCCATGATTGTGCATTACTACTACCAGCTGAATCCTGTTTTGAAAATGCACGTTGACCTGAGCTTTTATTTGAATTTAATGAATCATTTCTTGATAATGGTTGCATATTTTGTTGTTGTTGCTGTTGTTGTGATGGAGCATTAGATGATGGTCCTCCTCCTCCGTATCCACCAAAATTATTATGAGATTTCGAAACATTTTGACGTGAATCTTGTCGTTCCATTGGCTAAAAATAAATTTTGAATTAAATAAAAACTTCTTTCATAAAAATATTATAATTTAATTTTTATTTTATTTACTTTTAATAATTTATTATTTTGGCGTATACGTGATGATTCATTACTATTATTATTATTGTTATTACCGCCGTTACCACCTCCATTATTACCACTGCCACCGCCACTATTTCCACCTCCACTATTTGATGGTGATGGACCGCAATTACCTCCACCATTGCTACCATTATCGCTATTGGACCAACCCCAATATTGTTCTTCAGCCATCTCGATACTTTCACGGCCACGGAATATTCTACGACGTGCTTTTTGGTATTCTTCTTCACGTTCTTCAAAACTTTTTGCTTTGCGGTCTAAAACGCCACGATCAACACCTAAATAACTACCTTGTCTCGATTCATCGAAACTATGAGTATCTCTTTTTAAAATAGACTTACGTGGTTCATCACGCACTAATTGTTTAAATCGAATCTAAAAATTTAAAGAAAATATTTTAGAATTTAATTTTTTTTCTTAAAAATTTGTTTTTTTAATTTTACATCTGGAATTCTAGTTGCTTTTGTTGGTGCGACGATAACACATTGTTGTGTTGCCTTGTCTACATTGTGTTCCATACCAAAAAATGCTGCAACTCTATGAATTAACATACGCTTATATGACGACATTGGTTGAAAACGAAGTTCTTTTTGACTAAACCAATAGTATAAAAAAAAAATTGTTAGGTATTTTATATAATATGTAAAAATTTTACAACTTACGATTTGTCATGGGCAAGCTCAATGAGATCTTTTTCAATTTCCATTAATGTAGTTCTGTCTTTAGGACTTTTGTTTAATGTTTCTTTAAAGAATTGCACCAAATCGATGCCACTTTGATCAGTAAATTGTTCTGTTGAACTATCTATTAATTAAAAACAAATATTAAAAATATTAAAAGGTCAAAAAAAAAAAGTTGAAATCTTTTTATTTTTTTTTAGCGTGAATAACTTTTATCTGATAACAAAGAATCAAGCTAAAAAAAAAATTCCTTAAATTATAGAGAGCCAAGAAAAATTGATAGAATAATTTTAAAAATTAAATCTTATCCCGTTTATGTCAATTGCAAGAATTAAATGTGCTAAAAAATATTTATGTATGTAAAAGCGTTTTGAATGCATGCGTATATACAACGGATTAATAATAATAAACAAATAAGTAAAATAATAAGGCAAGAGCAAAATTTTGCTTAGGTTTTTTTTGTTATCTATGTGTTGTGGAAGGGCTTAAAACTAAATTGTTAAACTTTAGTTTAAAAATTTGTTATTATTTTTAATTAACTGAATAAGAAGGCTTGGGTCAGTTTTCAGGAAGTTTTGAGTAAATAAATTATTTTATATTTTAAAAGGTGTAATTTCTAAGAAATTTCAGAAATAATCTAATGATTTGTTAAATGTTTTAACAAATCTAATATCCTGGTATTTAATATATTGCAGGTAGTTGGCAAATTATTATGGACAACTACAAATGTACGTCTTTTAATTAAAATGAAATTTCTCAGAGTAGTGTAGTAAAAATTTATATATGAATTTTATGCAAAAGTTATTAAATTTTCTAAATATTTTGGAAAGAAAATTATTTTATATGTACTTATATGCACACAAATATAAATAAAAAATATTGAAAAATGCAGTGCAACATTATTTTTGTTCCAAATTTTTTTTTTTTTAAAATAGACAACAAAAGTGAAAATTCCAAATTCACATACATGAATAAAGCTAATTAAAATAAAAAAAAAATTATAAAAAACAAAAAATTTCTTTTCGAATAATTCTTGCCTCTAGATATAAATCCAGACGTACTATTTCCACCTTCCATACTAGAAGATGATCCACTCATATTTTTAAGTCTGGGTTTTGTACCTTTAGAATTGGCTCCATTCCGATGTTTTTTACTTAAACGATCACTTTTCTCATTTGGACTTTCAACACAATTTTGACTATCTTCTTGTGAATAATTACCAGAATTATTACTATTTTGACTTTCATTACGTGGACATCGATTATCTTTATCGTATGATAATGCTGTAACCGGAGGGCTAATCGGTGAATTATTAATATATGGACTAGCCTGTGGATTTAGTTGTGATACAGATACATTTATACTATTGTTATTGTTATTATTATTACTATTATTATTATTAATAATATTGTTATTATTATTATTATTTATATAACTATCATTATTATTATTTAAATTTGAATTATTATTGTTGTTATTTCGATTTGATGTATTCGTTGATGAAGAATTTATTTGAATATTACTGTTATCATTATTATTATTATTATTGTTATTATTAATAGAATTAATACTTGAATTATTATTATTTTGTCCATTACTATTGTTGATGTTATTATTATTAATATTGTTACTATTATTATTATTATGATTATTTGGAGATTTTATGTTTGAGCTATCATTTACAACCTTTTTGCCATTTATATAATTTGTAGAATCTCCACTAGAAATTGATTGTTGTAATTGTTGTTGTTGTTGATGTATTTTATGCTCATTATTATTTGTTTTATTATTATTATCCATACCGATATTATTACAAATATTATTCCCGCCACCGCTACCACTTCCATTATTCGCAATACCACCAGCACCACTTCCATTATTATTAACATTATTACTGTTATTATGACTATTATTACTATTGTTATTAGCATTATCACGATTTCGAGCACCTTTTGATGATTTCGGTGGTGTTAATTTTGGAAAATCGACATCATTACAAATCACGTTACCCGAATTGGCATTATTATCGTTTGATGAATATATCACAACATTTGAATGATTTTGATTTTGTTGAATTTGTTGTTGTTGCTGCTGCTGCTGCGATTGTTGTTGTTGAGTAGTGATTATAACTGAAGGAGTTTCCATTGTTGTTTGAGTTACCGAAGATACTGATTGTACATGCATTTTTGATGTATTGGAATCATTTATTTCTGGTGATGATGGAGGATGATTACTACCAGATGTTATCGGTGATAACCCAGATAATTGATCTGATCTTGGTGTAGGTGTACGCGGTGGTGATGCTGCTTCACGCATTGCATGACTCCGTGTTAAAGCTTTACCTTTAAGTCCGCCCTAAAATAAAAACAATAATTAATTGCATTATTTTAATATTCAATTTCAACTTGCATAAGGCACAAAATATTTATATTGTTATTGTGAATAAAATTAAAATGTCATATAAAATAAGATATATAATGTAAATAAATTTTAGCCATCTTTAGGCAAAAAAATTAATCTAATTTAATAAGTATGTCAGAATTTATTATTACAACAAAATTAAGTAAACAAAAATAATATGAAATATTAATTTACTTGTAATATCAAAAAAAAAAGTTTTTTTTTGATATTAAAAATAATTCCTACCTGTTATGTTAACTGTAATAATTCTATATTTTCTTTTCTAAACAGAAACGAAAATGCTATAAATAAATGATTTATCATAAAAAAAAATTTTAGTTAACGCAGGTTAGTAAAAGGTTATATGTCAGATCGATAATATAAAATGAAAATTAAAATTAAATGCTAAAAAGGAATAAGAATTTTTTTTTTGTTTGTGTGCATTTACTACCTTACAAAAATTAATCAAAAACACAAAACAAAAACGAAAAGGTTAATATCAAGGACGTTATGTTTATAATGCGATGTTACTAAACACACTTTTATATTTTTGTATGTGTGTGCTCTTATTATGAAAAATATACGATTTGTGTGTTTGTTGTATTGATTAAGCCTCATGAAATATTATTAAAAATATGCTAAAATACTAGTTGATTGAATTTTGTTTTTGTAGTGTAAGTGTATGTGGGTTAAAACTAAATTGTTTGCACTTGAAATTCAAGTAACATAACATTTTATTTTTTTTTTGTAAAAAATATATTACAAAAATTATGTCTATATTATATAAGACATAAGTAAAGGTACTTAATATAAAAAAAAATCAATAAATTCCAAGATTTTAATTTTGATAATTTCATTAGAGAAATAAATGTAAAAAAAAATAAATGGAGTTTTTAATAGTAGGTTCTTGGTTTACTTTGAATTTGAGGATGCAAATTAGTAAAACATGCGTTATCATTATTTTTGGGTAGATATTTTGATTATTATAAGAATTCTTGTAGCCCGTAAGAAATATTATGTGGAACAATTTCTTACGAATATTTATCACTATTTATTTCAATTAAGTACTTTAATTTTAACTTAGATATTTTGATTTGTTCTACTGGTTGCTAAGTTCTACTGGTTCGTAAATACTTACTACTAATTGGTTTTTCGTATTTTAGTTTTTTGACATATTATGTGTCATTCATTGCAATTCTCAGGTGATGCCTGAATAACACGTTTTCTCATTATCTAATATTTAATCAATATTAGGTACGAAATTAAGAATGCGTTTGACAAGTAGTTAATTTCAAGTTTGTGACATGTCAGTTGAGTGTGGAGGTCATGTGATTTGAAACCGTTAAATAATTTTCTTTTAGGGTATTTGACGAATTGAATTCTCGTTTGAATGACAATACTATAAAAGATATATTTAATCCAACTTTTTGCGTCTGAATTTAATATTAGTTTGTTTGTATTCCTAAATATTTAAAACACTAAACTCAAATTCCTTCTGATTCTAATACAAATTTCTTATTCAAATTTATAATAAGCAATATTAATTCACAAAATGATCATCTTCTTTAAAAATTTTTTTAATATGATGTCTTCACTTGCTATGCATGCTATATAAAAATATTTTCAGCATAACTTTATACAATATTCATTCCTTTTTTTTTACTATTTGGCAAAGTATTATGTACACGCCTTTTTGTTTTTTTTTGCATTAAATATCAAAGTTCAAAGACAAGAATGACGATATAAATGAAAAGGAATACAAGAAAAAAAAGAAACTTGTGACATCATATGATGCAATTTATATATGTATATATGTTTATGTGTACACAAATACATTTATATTTTTGAATTAAAAGGAAGATAGAGTACATAATGAAAATTTTAATAAGTTGGTAATAAACTGCATAATACTTTGTATTTCTTATCTACCATCTTTAAATTTTAGATTGCCATTGTAGTTTGAATGACTTTATTATAAGTATGTACCTAAATAATTATAATTATCTTACTTAATTCAATTCCACTGTAAAAAAAAAGTATCAGGGTGAAAATTGCTAAAATAATTATAAGAATCTATAAATATATTCAATAGCAGTATTGTAAAAAAATAAATCCAAATTTCAGAGTAAACTTACTGCAAAAATTAATTTGTTAGTGTATAAGTGAAAGAGTAATATCATTGCCAGTGTAAGGTTAATTTTGACAAAATTTCAAGTAAAATTTATTACTACTAACTTGTCACAATTTTCCTTTCGTGAATTTCGACAGTAAACTGCCAAATTTCTCACCAAATCGAGTGAAATTTATATGCTTACATTTATTATGCTTTCACTTTATTTACTGTACTTGGCAAGTTTCAACCTTTTTACTGTTTTTAATTTTATATTACTGTAGAGGAAGAGACTGGTTGATAGTTGATAATAGAATTTTTTGTAATAAACACAGTGAAATATCTTATTTAATTTTAACTGACAGTTTCAAAACTAGAAAACAATAGTACTAAGTAGTTTAAGTAAATTAAACATTGACCCAGTGTTATTAAATGACATTTTTAAATTAATTATTAAAATTAAATATTTTATTCAAAATTATACAATAATTTATTTTCATAATTTTCACATTACAATAGAAATTTACAAAAAAAAAGAAAATTTATTTAATATAATCAACAAAAATTAATGGTCTCTAAAAGAAAAATTAACAGTCATTGCAAATGATTGTTTTAAAGGAAGAAGAGAAAAATCAAAAATAATAAAATCAACGATTTCTAAGAAATTCATTGATTTTTTTTTTATATTGTGCACCTATACACAAAATACGAAGTACACTTTCGAAAAAAGTTAAAATATCAATTAGAGATAAATAATGTAGGTTATGTATAACAATAATAAAATGTAAAGGAATAATAAACAACATGACAATAGGCACACAACATTCCTTTAACATGAAATGACTAACTGGGAAATTTAAAAAATGTGTTTATAATATTATCAAAGGTTATGATGGAATGTGATTAGGAAATCCGATTTAATATAGAAATTTCTTTATTTTTTTTTTTATGAATACAATTAGAAAATTTTGATATGAGTTGATTTTATATGCTTATTTTATATTTGATCAATAAATTCCACACTTTATTAAATTTTACTTTTTAATTTTAATAATTTATAACAATAAATTGATTTAAATCACGACATTATCTTTAATGAAGTGGAAATTCTTTCTGTCACTCTTTAATTTTTATTATATACTTCTAAAAAAGAATTGAAAAAATGTGTATATTAATTTCAATCTGCCCGTCACCGGACTAAACTCTTTTAAAGTCCTTGTGCTATGATTATAGTAGACTTTAAATGCAAGTTTTTGATAGACTTACTACGTCAGAATTATAAATAATTTTTCAATTATTCAAAATTTCGTAGTTATTCCATTTAAAATTTAGTAAAATTTCAATTTTTTGCCATGTTATTCTTTATGATTTATTAGAACAGTTTTAAATTCTAATAAAAGTAAAGGAGTAACAGTATAAATTATATTTTCATCGAAAATTAATATTACATTTTTTAATTAAATTGGCAACCTTATCCAAATTTACTCTTATGACAGTCTAATTTTTTTTAAATTCCTACAGCGTATGTAATAAGATTTCTGAGAATGTTTCTCAATTAAACTACAAAAAAGAAATATGGAAATGTGCTTTTTTTTTGCAAAATATTTCTTTTAATTTTTGGCAATTTGGAAATTACAATATGTTTAATAACAAATTTTTGATAAAATTATTAATATTTTCTGAGAAAAAATTAATAGGTAAAGAAGGTATGAGCATTAAAAATTTCTTAGTAACAAACAACATGTGCTTTATATTTTGCTAAATTTATTTTTGAAAATTTTAATCCAATTCGCCTTATGAATTTACAATTTATAGATTCTTGTTGTTGTTCTTATGTTTTATTATAATGTTTTTTTTTTTGAGTAAAAACACAGACCTTTCATGTTTCAGTAATTTTGTAAAGAAATTTTGTGAAAAAATATAAATTAAATTTTTTTTAAAACTATTGAAATACTTTGAAAAATTTCAATTAAAATTTATTACGATTTCTGTTTTTGTTTTTAATGCATAATTAATTGTAAATAATTATAATTTTAACCTTTTAATTTTTACTTTGAATATTTGAAAAATTTTTCAAGTACAAAAAAAAAATTTTGTTCACTTTTCCGTCAATTTTGTTTTTGTTGGAAAATTATTTAAAATTGAAAATATTTATATAAATATTTAAAAACAAACGCAGATTGTCCGAGATTCGACGGAATTTCCGAAGCAGGGTGATATACAATATCTTTAGCTTTTTCACAAGTTAATTATTAACATTAGATAACCGTTGCTTATAGATCAAGCATTAAGCACATTAACAAAAGGCGCAAATAAAAACATAATTTAGTTGCAAACTCAGCAACTATCAGTTATCAAGCAACAGAGTTGCCATTTAAAGGAAAGAGAGAGAAGAATAAACGATGTTGTAGGTTAAGTAGAGTTGTGAATTAGAATTAACACAAGTCACAACGCAACATTCTAGTATAACCGTTAAGATTCCATACGTTATCCCTAACAGAAACTCATTCAAACAAAGGACCCACAATAGATCCCGACACAGATTGATGGATATACCTCAGGTTAACGACACACCCTCAAGAATTACAAAATTGATCAACATCAACCAAGCCTTAGAAGATGGTAATCTAAAACGATCACGCCAGCCCAAACCACGCAAAACAAATCGCAGAAATTTTCTCTGAATAGATTCAACGAGAAGCATCCACCACACGATAGGGTACCCAAACCTGACAGGCATACTCCAAAATTGACCTCATAGAAGGCACATGCAAATGCTTCGCAAGATAGTCATCCATCCAAACTTCGAATTAGGCCTAACAATAATCATATACAAATGAACCCC